TTTTGTTAATCTCTCCACAATACCATACTGAGACAATTAGCTGTAATTGCTTTGATATGCAAAGGTTTATTTACTTTGATTTGTTTGTTGTTTCCATTTGCAGTTTGGACTTCAATGGTGTCCATTACCTGCGTTTTCACGGATTCCCTCTTTTGAGTAAGCATGCCTTCACAAATTAGGATCCTTTTATACTTGATGTTTTCTAGATTTCGTGGCATTTTTCTAGTTTGTGTGCTATTCTATCTTTTTAATGTCTCTGTGATCAACTACTTCCCCAACCCTGGTTGATGCAACTTTGTAGAGCAGAGTTGTGCTGCTTATTGAGCTGGAGTCATGCTTGTCTGTATGCAGCACTAGCTCAAGGTTTCTCAGTTGGATTTGTTGCTTTGTTAAAGCCTATTAGGATGACCTGACCCAGCCTTGATCTGGGTTAGTTCTGGTTTTTAGTATGAAACCATCCATTTGAAAACTTTAGTCAGCTGTCTTAAACACTTGCACATAAAGACTACCATTTTTATGTTATATGCCCTTAAAGATGATTGCGACAATAGATCTTTAGATGTGCTATTGCATCTTAAATTACTTCTGCCCCTTCTAGGAACACTCAGTGTTGATTAGACTCTTGGACACTTCAAACTAAAACAGACGCTTCTTAATTTGGTTTTGTGATCAATATACCTTATTAACATTATGTATATAGTCATGACCGAGTGTGGTGTTCTCTTTTATGATTACAATAACTGGGTTTTTGTAAACTAACTGAAAGCCTCTCCAAGGCTACAAGTGGCTCTCATGCTCTTCAAGACTATAGCTCTCAGCTAGATGCATCATTGTTCACATGGCTCATACTTCTTCTATTTGGAACTTGTATGAGGGATATGATGGTGTAATGTTTTGTTCTGCTCGGTCACTAGATCACAACCTTTTTTGTCAAAGTTCTTTCCGCATTTAGAGCAACACATGTCATTCAAGCTGCCCTCTTCAATCCATTTTGTTTCAATCATTGATCAATGATGTAATTATATTAATCGTCCCAAAATTTGCTCAGCCATGCATAACTTAAAAGCATCTCATGTCATTTGCCTGGGTCACTGACACTCTGTCCTTGTGTCATGAAGTCTTACCAATTTAAATTATACGTTCCAATCCATGCCTGTATCATGAGTGGGTCACTGGTTTACATTGATCTCATGCCAGGAGTGAGTGTGGTTTATTATATGAACACCATAGACCCAGTGTAGCTGTTTCCAATTGGACTTTGTTTTTGTATGATTTTCCTTCATTCCAGTGTTGCTTCAAGATGTAGTGTGCCTCTGTGTTGTCCTACTTTAAGATTGTGATGGCTTTTTTGGTTAACTGGGCTCTTGGCCATTATTTTTGTTGAATCTCCATATTCTAGTCTATGTATTTGACTACCTGATGAGTGATCTGCCAGTTTTACTCTATTGTTGACCGATGACTGCTTCTTGATGAGTTACTTTTCTTATCTTTGCAGGGAGGGAGAGTTCCCATCTACTCCTTGTAAGTTTTGTTTTTGCATTCGCCTTATGCTGATAATGTTTTGACTATGGTGGTATTTCAATTATTAAACTTTCTTTTTCTTTTACAGATCATGATTTTTTGGGTCAACAAGCTGTCTATGCTGAACATACGGCTGTTTCATCTTCTACACATCAATGCCCTTATGTTGCATATTATGGACCAATTCATTCCTCATCCTCAAACTCTGTTGGAAGCGTATCTGATGGCTCCAATTTTAATAATCGTTGGGGAGGGCCATCTGGACCCAGTGAAATGCCAACTTCTTATGCCTTTGCTGCCATGGACCCCCATTATCATGGTTGGGAGCAACAGTCCTTGAGTTTCTCTTCTAATGGAAATCGGTTGGGTGCTTCTGATCAACCTTCAGCTCCATCTTTGACTTCGAGATCCTCACGGGTGAATTCTGATTTGTCTAGATCAGGGTCATTTGTCCATCCATTTGTTGTAAGCCACAGGTATGTGCTGACAACCATGGCAATCCTCCTTTGGCCTGCTCTTTAATTGTTTAGAAGTATATTTTTAAGCTTTGCTTTGCTTTTAGGGCCTTTATGGGATTGGTCCAGCTGCTCATGCTATTTAATCTAGCCTACTTGTTGAAGGATAAGGGAAAATAAGCTGGGTTTCAGAAAAGTACTGACTATCCGTTAATATGAATTTTCAATGGAAAGGATTAAGGGTTTTGTTTTGGAAAACTACTGAGTTGGCTCCTACTTGAAATTGATAAATGTTGGTATAATTTCTACCACAATTCCACAAATACTACAGTCTTGAATCTAGTAAAGCAACCTTATATTGATTCTCAAGTCTTTTCAGAGAGACCAACCGTATGGAATTTTGGTTTTCCTGCTGTCTTTTCCCTTTTTTTGCTTTGGGTGATGGACATTTGCTCTCCCTCTTACATTGAGATGTGTTTGATCATTATGTTAGATGTGACAATGTTTGTATATTTCAAGATCAAGTTTTACCATCTTGTTTAGGTAGCTTGTCAGGCAATTTCTAATTTTTGTGTACACAATAATCATCATCTCTCCTTCGTTGGTCAAAAGTTCAATACACTTGGGTGTTACTATTGTGTAACTGATGGGGCTTGATGACAAACTTTGTTTGACCACTTTTGTGTTTCATCTAATGGCTGCTTGATATTTTATTATCACAGTTCTGGCAGCAGGGTTGGAAGTTCTGTCACCTCATCTATGATTCCACCATATCCAGGCAGTGCGGCTCGAGCTCGTGATCGTGTACAAGCTCTTCAGGCATATTTTCAGCCACCTAGCAGCTCCCCGCCCATGCGCGCACCCATCATGTCCAATACAAGAAGATCCAGTGGCCATAGAGGTTTGTCCCAAGGGGCCCCAATTCCCTCATCATCTGATCAGACGAATGGAGGCTTTTTTGTATACCCATCAAGTACATCCACTCGGAGCTTTCCTGAAGTGGAGAATCCAATATCTAGCAGGTTCCATGGGTGGGAAAGAGACCATTTGGGTTCTTTCCCTTTAACTCAGGGTGATAGAGACTCCAATTGGCTTCCCCACCAGGTTGTTGGTGGGTCCAGCAATTTCCGCCAACGACATGGATCTGAACGGACACCATCACAAAATCGGTCATAAGACCACACAGTCTATCCTTTTTTTCGTTATTGGGTGAAAGCGGAAAACAAATTGCCAATATTACAACTGCAGAAACCAATGAAATATGTAATGTGTGAAATGATGCAGAATGGTTTTATTTGATGTTTCGCTTGGAAAAGCGAGACTCCTATTTGCTGTTGAGTGGATCCTGAAATGGTCCTTTCTGGCAGTGGCTTCATTGAAAAGCTTAATTGCCTCGAGGGTATTTAGGATAAGACATTGAATTGTAGATGACCGTTGGTTTATGCAGAGAGGTGTCTGTTGCCTTAGAAAGCGAATTGGGGTTGTCTTGCTAGAATGCCTGAAGGTTTGTGAGAAAGGGGGGACTGAATTCTGTTGCATGTTAACTTAATCCCCGTATATTTGTGGTAATTGTATGCAAAAATCCAAGAAGTTTTGAACCATTATCTCTTTTCATTTTTTTGCAGTTCTAACTAGATGTAATGGCATTGATAAGTAGGTTCAAACCAGGCTAGTCATTGGACTTTAGGTCTTGTCTTAATCACCTAAGTTCTAAATCTTCTAATTGTTTAAGAATTAATGTGGTCAGATGAGACATGTTTAGGAGAAATAACCTTTAAAAGATCATTTAAGATAATGATAAACATTGGTTAATTAAAGGCTACAACACCACCACATTGCGTTGCCGCCCCTCTTCCCTCATCATCATCCATGACAGCCAACATGGCAGCAGTCCAGCATCCTCACGAGCAACCCACGTCCCTTGTAACACTAACATCAATAGCCACAACAAGCACCAATTCAGCCATGAAGCCAATTAAAAAAATTAGGGTTCGTATTCAAATAGAATTGAGGATTTTATTGTGATACGCATTGGATCAAATTTTACAAGAATGTCAATTAATTCCCTCTTCTCCCACACTCTCCACCACAAGCATCACACGCAAGCCATTGTCTCCACCACAAGCGCTAATGCGTATGCAACCCTTGGCAACATTAACCAATTGAGGACTGTTTTGAGTAAAAATATCCCCCACATATATCACTTTCAAATTTAATTGAAAGTTGAGATCTTTTAAAGCAAATCACCACAATAGTTGTGAGTCCTTGTGACATATAATATCAATTTTTATTTGATGCAATGAGAGACTTGATAGAAAAAGTCCCACATTAGCATTGATTTACTTATAAGTATTTACTCTGCACTCCAATTCCAAAATTTAGAAAATTCAGTCGAATTGCAAGGAGGAAGAAATATGAAAATTGCACAAAAGAAAAAAAAAAAAAAAAAATGGGAGTAACGTGGTGATTTTCTAATATTGCTTACAATGTACTTCGGCATCTTCATGCGTCTAATCAATTAAGGTAGTAAATTAGTAATATACTACATATCTTAAGGAATGACAAATTAACACTAATTTGCTAAACTTTACAATTTTATTTCCAACCGTCAAAGGTTCTTCAAAGAGGGATTCAACGCTTTAACTTGTATGTGTAACAATTGGTGTTTTTATTTATTTATTTATTATTATTATTATTATTATTATTATTATTATTATTATTATTTTATTTATTTATTTATTTTTTTTTTTGAGATATAAAAAATTCAATTGTTACATATAATATGAAGCTCCAGTAATTATTAGAAAGTGAGATTACCTTGGAAAAGTCGAATTCTCTAGCCTCTACATATTCTTCCGTCTCTACAATTCAGGGTTTAATTCTTCGATAAGTCACGGACGCACAAGAAGGGTATTCAGCCCTTTATACTCCGTACAATTACAAGGATTTTAGCATAAATTTAATTGGGTTTATTTAGCCAACGGGTTTCACAAACCATTTGTACTTTTGTTAAACTATAGTAGCTTGACTAGCTTAAGCTTTTACCAAACATTTATAAAAGCAACAGTGCACATAAGAATCTTACAACCACGATTATTAGATCATTTATTGACCAACTAAAGTCAACCAAATTAGTCAATTGCTTAATAGAAAACTAAAAATCTGCAACAGCAAGTTCAGGTACCCTGATGAGAAATTCACTAAATCTGATCTAATGAGTAAACTTCTCGCACCCTAGTCCCAATATAGTAAGACAGTAAGAGTGTACATTATCAGCTTAATCTAACAATTCTACTCCCAAGTATATGCTACAGCACAGCTCTTTAACGTTACACTCTTCTCGATTCAGCAACGCTCCTCAGACTCAACAGAACGACTCCTATCAGATCTTGCCTGCAATACACAACATTGCATGTTAACGAATTTGTAGATTACAAAGCAGTTGGAAAAAGAGTATAATTTACAGAACATAACAGAAGAAATCATACAGCTGGTGAACGTGATCGACTGACACTTCTGCTAACAGAACGACGAACTGGAGATTTGGACCTTGATAAAGATCTGCAAAGTGAGAATTGGTAAAATGTCAGTCTAAATGAATTTGACAGCTTCAGCAATTTGTCATAAATTTGACAGCTTCAGCAATTAGTCATGATTTTAACAAGAATTCAACAGGGTGATTTTGGACCTTGGTTTGCCGTTACTCAAAACTATACAGAAAAATTTACACCAGTAAGGGGAAGTGGAAAGAGAACCATTTTGGACTAGAGCAAGAAATTCCAACCTTACAATCCAGTCAGAGAGCCATTTTGGACTACAGCAAGAAATTCCAACCTTACCATCCAGTCAGACCGGTGTGGAATATCATGTTCACCAATGAGAGTAGCAAAGAAGGCCCAAAACCATATTTCGCACTTAAATTGCATAGAACATTGTATCTACCAATATCCTTTACCACGAGTCCTACCAACTCTCATGCTTATGCAATTGGGCTACAAATGCTCTGTGTTCCAAGACACTAGAACACTCATGAGAATCCCGTTCTTTCTTATAGAACCAAAGATTCCGCCAGCTCACATCCACAACCTCCACCAAGCATAATACCTTTATAATTTATCCAACAATCATAATTCCCAATAGTGAACACATCCAACAAATATAAAACGACGCCAGCCTGGATGGAAATGAGCAAGGTTTGATGTGCAAATAGATCCAAGCCCCTATGTCCAATCCCCAGACTGCCGCAAAGAGCTGGATCTACGAAACAAAGAAGACAAGCTTCATAAACTCATTAAAACAATTCGGCAACATCTCATATGTTTCAAATACGACCGTGTCCTAAAAATCCATCAAGAGGCAGGTTTAATTTGGAAAATCTGTCTGTCTTATCTACATGATCATTTTTAAATGTTCCATCTTTAGTTTCAACTTATCCCTAGAAAATGCGTATTTATTTACTGGACAAAACTCTACATAACTTGAAAACAAGGCATAGTAAGATTAGTAACAAAAATACGGTTCCAAATTCATCAGATCTAAAAATAAAAAGCATAATGTCACTAGACATGGTAGAGAACTAGAATGCCATGTCCTCTAACAAATTCATCACATCATATGGCATGTACGAGACAAACTACCTGCATGTATCCAAATCTCCTTTTTACTCACCACAGTCCATCGCTCCAACTACAAAAATTTAAGTAATAAATCAAAATGAAATTTGGCACCATCCTTTACTTTTCAATTTCATTGACAGAAAAAATGCAAACAATGCTAACATAAAAAGCACACATTGCCACCCAAAACAGGTCAATAGCCTACATATATGACACCCGACTGCACATAAATGCATCTGATAGGCAGCAAACCAAATAACCAATACCGTGCAGATGTTAAATGATTAAAACAGATGGAACATAAAGAGACAATGAAAAAGAAGATCATTTCTCTTGGTCCCAAGAAACCTAAACTACATACTATTCCATACTCCATTCTGGCATCACCCAAGACAAAGAACACTCGTAGACCCAAGAAAAGAAAGCAAATGTGCACTCGATAACAAAATAAACAACAAAAATGTAAGCACAAATAGAAAATTTAGAGGGGGAAGAGGTTACAACTTGTAACAACAACCCAACATTTGCTGAATGCTTGATGGCCTTCCCAATAATCTAGAGAGTCAAAAAGAATGATCCACATATTTGTAGATGATCCAGTCTTGCAGCACCCAACACTAGTAATATGAAAGATACATACTCTTGTATGCTGATCCAGTCTATTTTATGCCATTATCTGTAACTGGCTGATACCAAGATAACCTCAAATTATTTCCCATAGAGATGCTTGCCCATTAATAAACCACAAGAATTCACACTATGGTTGGTACTAGACTTGCTATTACCAAGAAAGAAGACCTCCTGTTAATAGGCTGTTATACTCCGAAGTGGAGTACATCATAATGTTTCCCTCTTATACCAGCCAAAAGGATAATCAGGATAATCAAACAGCGCATTGTTTAACAAAGGTTAAATCAGGGAAATTTAGTGCAACATAATCTTACCAATTACATAATCCTGGCTCAACACTAGAAGCTACACATGTAACCTAATTATCTTTCAATTAAGATTAAGCAGGGATAATCAGTAGAATATTGCCTGTCACCAGAATCTGGCCCATCAATAGAAGCTAAACATAAACCAACTAGCTATGTCATTGGTATAAGCTAGGCAGTTTCTTGAAATATAATGAAACACCAATAGCCATCTAATTAACCCTTAAACAGGCAAGTAATTGATACTAGAAAATGTCTTAAGGTGATTAATAAGCACAAGTTACAAGAGCAACAACATACCTAGAACGAGAATGAGAAGGGGATCTCGAGGGAGACCTTGAAAGAGATCTGGAATAAGAACGTCGTGAACTTCGTCTTCTTGGAGAAATGCTGCATCAGAGTAAACCACATAAACATGCTATCATATCGTGGAACTTCACAACAATTTCCAACTTAAAACAAATAACAGCACCTGTAGCTGCGGCTTCGGCTTCTGCTTCGGCTATAACTACGGCCACGGCTGTAGCTTCTACTTCTCGACCTATCATCTGGACTCAGACTCCTAGAGTACTCTTTCACCTACAGGCAAAAAATAGATTAGGAAAAGAAAAGAAAAAAAAGAAAAAAAATTCAAACAAATACACATATTTCAAGAATCAGTTCTAAGTAAGACATACTCGAATATAAGCACGAGAGAATGCATTACGAAACTCAGAATCATCCAGCTTCCTGACCTGCATGACAAGTAATGCCGAATTAAACCCCAAGGAAAGGGACATAGAAAGCAAAAACTGTCTCTTAACAACATACAGAGCCAAACTAACTTACAGCACGCTTCATATCATCATAACTTGCATATTCAACAACTCCAGTCATGCCTGCAAAAAAATAGTCAATCAGATGAAGGGTATTATATACAGATATAAGCATGCAATGCACAAAACATCCCAACTTTTACAGATGAACCCAAAAGACCTAAACATATTTTTTCTGGACAGTTGAGCTCACAATAATCCAAACTATGACACAAAATGAGCGAAGTTCAAATTAATGCAGCAAGATAATACTCGTCCTTCAACTTTAATACGTAGTACATACACATCAGCATCTATCACATGCAGGCTTGCAAAAAGGACCATTGGCTTTTTTAGGTAGAAAGATAAATAATATCCCATAGAAAATAGTGAATACTGTGACGGATTCCAGATAAGACATAGAAATTGTCTAAAACAAGAGGGTGTAAAAAGCTTAAGGAAATATATAAGTTAAACAGAAAGGAGAGTATTTAGTCAACAAATAAATATAAGACCAGATGTCACAGGTTCTGTCTAGAATTAAAGCAATAAGACGGTTTCTGTCTAGAATTAAAGCAAAAGGATTAAGTTAATAGTCCAACTATTCTTCCATTTTTGTCACCCAGTGAACCAGATAATATCCAATCCTTACATATTTCATCTTCATAAAGTTGAGTGAATACATTGTAATGATCCACCCTAGGGTCTCCCAATCATGCTGAAGTACTCCAACTCTCCAAGTGTGGCACCTAAGGGCACTATGGATTATGACTGTATCCAGAAAACTGTTTTCAGTATCATTACAAGAAGAGATCAAGGCCTCTCGAATGATTATCAGTACACACTTCTGCAGGATAAATCAATACACCGTACATAATAATAAAAGTTATTCTCTCCTTTGCTTTGATCTGTCTCTTTATCATAACTATTCCTCTCTGAAATGTTGCTGGGACAGCTTATATCATTACAATATATTCAACATAAGATGCACGGCAGCAAAGCATAATTCCACCTTAAAGCACCCACATCACCAAACCACATTGAGCAAGCAATCACAGACACGGATGCAAGAAGCACTTAAAAAGCAGAAATTAAAGGCATCAAGTGCACCAACTAACCACCATAACGACGATCCTTGAATACATCTGAAAAACAAACATCCCCGGCTCGTCGCATGTGATCCTAATAATGAAGAAATAAATAAGTAGATCAGAAAAAAGCATGAACAATAGACAGTGGATATACAATGGGAAGGGGAACATTTAACATAACAATCATGCACGAGACACAACTGCACAGCACAATGATTCCTTAATCCTATCTAGCTTAAAAACTGTTATCACTCACCTTAAGGTCTTGCCAAGAAGCAGATGATGGCAGTCCAGTGACCATGACTGCACAGACACCAACATAAGAATTTCTTAGAGCTGTAAAATAACCAAAAAGATGTCACTTGAGAAGCAAGAGTGCAAGACTAACCTCTATAGTCAGTGTGCTTGGGTGCTCCACCTCTATAACTGCTGCCTCCATAACTGCTGTGACGGTCAGATGATAGGGATCCTCGACCACCATGAGCAAATTCCACCTAAAGAGTTAAGAACACCATTGTAATTGTTGCAAAAACAGACAAAAACAGAAGCTCAGATAGACGGGCAGCAAAATAGGTCCCAAGCATACTAACCCGCAAACGATGCCCATCAAAATCATAACCATTCCGACCATACACAGCATCTTCAGCATCTCGTTCATCTTCAAACTATAAAGAACATATAACAAAAAAAATGAACAAACTGAGAAATAAGGGAAAGAAACTACAAGTTCATAACATAAATCACCCATCTAATCCCAGCTCATTCTCTCCCCATCGAAATTGATCTCACCTCAACAAATGCATAACCAGGAGGCCGTGGTGGAATCTTCAGATCAATGTCGACGATTGGGCCATACTGCATCAGAGCGTAAACAAATAGTGAGTAGTCGCTTGATTTACTTAGCTACCATAATTACATTTTATACATCTTTGATCAAGAGCCACTAAAGTAAATTCTAGTTCCTGGGTTGGGCCATACTAACATATTCGTTTGAATGCTACCAACACTGGTTTAAAACAGAATAATAAACCCCCAAAACACACACACAATAACACAAATTTATTATTATTTACTTATTTAAAATAAAACATAAAAATCCACATACAGGCTATATATTTGTTTCCTACGTAAATTTTTTCATGAGCGAGAAACACGATCCTAAATTCTTCTCTATATTCTTTTGGCCCAAGAATGATCATCATTCAACCATTCTTAATTGACACTTTTAACCGAGAGCATCACGAGCCATTGTAAATGACTTATTACATCACAGATATTTTTTATTTTTTCAGAATTGACCATCAATGCCCGTGTATTTCTCGCACACAACACACATGCTGGTTTAAAAAGATTGATCATCAATATATTTTTTTCTATCGTTCAACAACACAATATCACATATGGACAAACCAATAGCCTAAATATTTCTCATCTCTTCTGCATTGGCTAATCCAGAAATAGGTATGCCTAACCAGCTACTACAGTATTCTGTCAATCTCAAAAGGCTAGAATAAATAAAGCCTCCGCAATTTAGTGAAATGTGAAATACAATCTCAAAATAACTACTGTAGTTATCAATATATCATGACAACATCAACAATAGCACATATAGAACATTCATCTCTACATACACAAACTTAACCCTGGATAATTACTTTTAAATTTGTAGAATATGAATAATTCATTTCAAGGACAATTTTCATCTCCAAGATGGGGTCGCCACATAAACTTATATAAAGACCAACCTTGTAAAAGATATCCTCGACTTCTTTCTCGCGAATATCACCGGGGAGATTACCAACGTAAATAGTACGGTAAATTCGTCTCGTCATGTTTTTCTTCAACCCTTCACCAAGATTAGAATTTGACAAAAGCTGCACAGCAAAATATAACCAACTATCAGAAATTTTCAACAGGGGACAAACAATACCTTTTATAAAAAATTTAATATAATCTTCTTAGATTTTTCAAATACAAGTATTAAATTAGCTATGAAGATATTGAATTCAAATTCGCAAAATTAATCTGAAAAGTTAAACACTAAAAACATTTTCTTTAAAAGAATATTTCGAGCTCGTGTCACAAACTACAGAGTATTGAATTGAGCTAACTACGATTTTTAAATAAAAAAAAAATTAAATCAATTGCGTTTAAAAAAAAATCAGTTAAACATCACGAAAATTCACAAAATTGAGCTAACTACGAATTTTTTTTTAAAAAAAAGAAATACGAAGTATAAAAACTTAGAAATTTTTATAAAAATAAATACGGAAAATTAAAACTCAAAAGAAAACAAAAATTCAATGTTAATTTAATTGAACAAGACGTCGATGTACGATCAAATTGCAAAAAAAAAAAAAAAAAAAAAAAAAAAAGGTAATTGACAACAAAATCCCTATATTGAATTTAACAATACAATAAATTTCCAATTACCACAAATCGATAATAATCCAAAACCTAATTTTTATCTACCCAGCTAAGAAATCGATATATTAAAAAAAAATGCCAAAAACACCAGAAGAAAGAAGAAGCGAAATTACCGAACTTAACTACTGGTACGATGAAAGAGTTAACTGAACAACTTATTAATCAAAGAATAATAAATTAAATTGAATTTTCGATGATTATTTATAGCACAATAAAATCAGAAGAAAATAATAATAAAACGGAAAAAAACGAGAAGAAGATGTAACTTACCGTGAAATATAGAAGTCTCTGGAAAGCAGTTAAGAGAGGAGAGAGAAAATAGGGTTTTTATAAAGGTGGAGATTGGATTCGGTGCTTTTTACCTACGGTTTTATTGTGCGCCAGACGTTTGATCTTTTTGTTTATCCACGTGGCAGTATCTTGGGAGGGGATTGCTTTTATGTTGTGCTTTGTTTGGTGGCTGAAAAATATATGTTAATATACTCAATTATTATTTATTTCTAATAATTCCAACTAAGGTTTATTATCTAATAACTCAACTATTTTATGTGTTTGCCTCCAATAGTCCCAACGGTCAACACCAAGTCAACGACCTGTTGTAACAAGTTACCATGACACATGTCAACATGTGATTGGTCCAAAATTTTAAAAAAGTTTAAAAAAATAAAAACATTAAAAAAACAAAAAAATTCAGCCACCAACAACCACCGCCAAACCCTAACCTCACCCATTAACACACCGGGAACCAGACGTTCACCCCCATTAACCACCGAAATCGGCTGGCCACCCCATCTAACCTACCCTCGACCCCCGAAACCACCCAGCCAGCCACACCGCACCTGTACCAGCCCCCGAAACCACTGCGCCACTACACAACTACACAGCCACCCCCGAAGCCACCAACTAAACCAGCCTCGCAATTCTCTTCAACGCTAGCCTCAACGCACAAGAAAAGAGCAAATTGCGATCCCGTTGGTTGCTGCTGTTGGCCGGAATTCCTTGGTGGCGAGCGGGACCTAATGTGCGGCCGGAGTGAGGCTTCAAAAGGAAGTGAAACCCTTGACGGGGTTTAACGCGCGGTTGGAAAATCGGGGATTGAGAAGGTTGGACAGTGAGTTTTGGGGTTGGGAAGGGACGACCGGTCCTTTACGGGGGGTAGGGAGGTGGGCGGTGGCCGGTCGGTTCTCGGTGGGCTGGGGTTCGCTTAAGGTTTCACGGGGAAGGGGAGGGGGTGGCTGGGAGTTGTTTTTGTTTATTAATTTTTTTTAATATTACACCAATCACATGCTGACACGTGACTTTAAAAAAATAAAAATAAAAAAATAAAAATAAAAAATAAAAAAATGACCCTTTCAGCAGGTTACCGGTCATTGGGACCATTGGAGGCAAACTGACCCCGTAGTTGGGATTATTAGATAATAAACCTTAGTTGGGATTATTAGAAGTAAATTGCCAATAGTTGGGATTATTAAAGTGTATTTTTCCTTTCTTATTTGGTGATTTTTGGAAAAGATACAAGGAAAGCATCAAATTCAAAACTAAAAAACTAAAAAAATAAAAACCGTCTTTTGGTAGTGAGGATGAGAGATTGAACATTTAAGAGTAGGAATGTCAAGGGGTAAGGATGGATCCCAATTTGGCGGGTGGTAGGATGGTGATGGAGGTTTCAAAAAAAAAAATTAAAAAAATAAAAAATAAAAAATATACCCGTCATGAGGGATAGAGCGGGGGTGAACTTTAAGTTGTACCCGGCCCGCTTCGGCCACTAAATTTTGGCTACTAAGCCTTGGGAATTAAATTAACACTACGGTTAAGGGTATTGTAATTATAACTTTGTGATTGTTGATGTTTAATGTGTCTTCCTTCTTATTCCTTATTTAAAATTATTATAGATATAGGCTTAATTAAAGATGATTGTGGGTTATGTTATGTGCGAGACCTGGCTAGACTTAACCCACTCACTACATGTTGTGCTGAAAATTTCAAAAGAGTAAGAAGTAATTCACAATTTAACACACAAAGCCCAAACCCACGTTTCATTATATTGTGCTAGCATGACTAAGACAAATCTAACTTATTTTAGCATCATTGGACTCAACATGAATAGTAGCGTGTTGTGTTATGCTCGTTGTATTTTTTTCGTTTTGTGTCGTGCCTACCTCTTGCTCATGTTATGTTGTATATATTATGAGTAATTTAGAATATTCTCTCATCTTATGAAAAGTGTTAAAATTCCAAATAGGAAGAACAAAAAGAAACGCATGGAGTATTATATAAATTAAAATGTTAATAAGTTGTTGTATTTACGTTAATGTATATTATTGACATATTAAGATTTATTATTTTCACTAATACATATTAATGATATTGATAGTCAAAGTTGGAAAAAAAAAAATATATCAAATGTGTCAATTATTATTGAATAGAGGGAATAACATAACATAAGGCTAAAAGTATTAAAATCAGAATTAACCAGTCTTCCCTTTTGTGCCTTATTTGAATTTATTGTAGGTATATATAGGTTTGATCAAAGTTTAAAGATGATTGTGGTGGGTTGTGCCATGCATGTGTTTGCCATGGCTAGACTTAATCCACTCGCTACATGCTGTGTTGAAATTTTCAAAAGGGTGACCCACACATATTTTAAGCCCATTTTCTTCCATGTTGTGCATGACCAAGGCAAATCTAACATATCTTTAGCATCCTTTAGATCAACATGCAAAATAACATGTGTCAGGCCAACCTCTTGCCCATGTTGTGTCTTTTTTTTTTTTTTTTCATGTTGGATCGTGTCATGTTATAACTAAGTGTCATCTCTAAACTTGATATTATATCTACCGCTTACAGACAACTATTTCAAAAGATAATTAGCCATGACATTGCACTCTTTTTTTTTTTTTTTTTTGAATTACTCCATATATTATTCTTACAATCCCTTCTTGTTTTGTATCTAAAACATCACTTTCCTTCCACATGAGACAACTTGGTTTGGATTCCAAGACATATCTCATACATCATACACGTATCTACTCTAATTTACTCCATTCATGGTTGGTTGTTATAAATATTAGGACTTTTAGGAGCAAAGGTGTCAAAAATCTACGTAATTGATCTGATTCGAAAAAAAAATAAAATAAAATTTAATACTAACCTATTTAAACACAATAATTTAATATGACTCAATTTTTTTCTAAAAAAAATCACTCAATTTCACCGAACTTGACCTGAACATCCGATTTAACACCTCTAATTGCGAGCACTAGAAAGGAAAAAGCCGTGTATTGACCACGGAAACAAATTTGGTGTCCCGAAATCCGCCAACGGGTTTGAAAACAGGAATTTCGGGTAGGCAGTATCAAACTTGTACACTTTCATTTGCCTGCAACTTCCTCTCTCTCTCTCTCTCCCCTCCCCCCACCCAATTCCCGCCCTACCTCTATATATCTCTCTCCTTAATATCTCACCGCTTTCTCAATATTCCTCAATTATTATCTCTCTTTCTTTTATCAATTCTGATTTCTTGATCTTTATCAATGGCGGAAGAATCCAAAACCACCATGGAATCTGTTAGGTCTTGGGTTGTTCAACACAAGCTTCGTACCGTCGGTAATTTCTTCAAATCCCCTAATTTGATTAATTTCACCTTATTTTTTATTTTTTATTGTGAATAGAATTTATGGTTTTGGTTTTGCAGGGTGTTTATGGTTGAGTGGAATTACAGGATCTATCGCGTACAATTGGTCTCGCCCTCAAATGAAAACCAGTGTTAGGATCATCCACGCTAGGTTAATTTCTTGATTTGTTTATTCTTTGATTTGGGGTTGTTTATGTGTTTATTATAAATTATGAGACATGGTTTTGGTTAATTGTGGTTTAATAATCATTAATTTTTGTGTTTATCTTCTTTAATTTCTTCATTAAGATGCATGCAAAGGGTTTATGTTGTGATTATATATAATAAAAAAAGAAGTTGGAAGGTGTTATGTTTCTGAATTGAATTAGCCTTACCTTTGTAGAACAATTTCAGAACTAGGGTATTAGTTTTGAAATTTTGGATTCAAATAAGGGGGGGGGGGGGGTATGCTTTAATGTTGAAAATTTAGCTTAGGGGATGCATAAATTTCACTTGGAGAGTATATATGGCCACTGAAATTTATGAATTCAGTTGCTCCTAGACTCCTAGTGCATTTTTCTTTATTTGAATGTATTGGTTTTATGAAATGATCATTGAGATTATGCCCAAGGGGTAGTGTACTTTGATGGGAGCCCTCCCGTGTTTCGCTGTTTTGGTCTATGAAGTACCGAAGGTCAAAGAAGTTTTAGAGGTTGAGTTTTGTAGAGAAATTTATATCCGAGGAAGAGTGATGGAAATGACATAGTTTAATCAATCAAAGCCTTAATCCCCTAAGTACGGTTGGCTACATGAACGAAATTTGATTATTCTGTGTAGTCATCAACAAAAGTCTTCCTCCTCCATCACTTACGATCCGATGCCTCATCCTCATGTAAATCCATATACTTCATGTCCTTCATAACTCCTTCCAACCAAGTCATTTTCGGTTTCCCTCTCCCTCATTTAACCTCTCCATGGTTCCATTCTTCCACTCTTCGTAGTGGTGCACCCTCGGGTCTCCGTCTTACATGCCCAAAGCAAAGCATGCGATTTTCCCTTAGTTTGTTTGCCTAGACATGACAGAGTTGATTATCTTTTATCGGATTTGTTGGTATCACCTTTGTTGATAGTCGGAGATATATAGCATTTGGAAATGTCATGTTTGGTACATGCGATACAAGTATCAGTTGTCCTAAAGCTTCATATATGGAGATGATTGGTTTTTGGTGAAGAGTTGAGAATTATGCTACATAGCTACTATGAATGCATGTTCTAGCACTGTTGAAGTTTATGACTTTTGATCACTTTTTATACTCTGAGAGTTACCTTACTTGTCCTAGTAGCCTCTTAAATTATGAATATATAGGATAAGAGCCATGAAATAATTTTTGAAGTGTTGGTACTACAAACTTGAATATTGCTTTTATATGGAGTCTGGGGTACTGGCACCATCCAGCTTGCCTTTTACAATTAGTTTCTTATATTGCTTCCGATGACGTTGAGAATACATTTGTTGGACTGACTTAAATCATGGAGCCGAGATTTTCAATTACTTACTCTCTTGACTTCAATCATATGCTGCAGTCGTTCACGAAGATTCTTATGTAGGCTATTGCTCTGACATTTTTTTACTGACATTGCAAGGTTTCTTAGACCAATTTGTTACTGATTAGGAAATGAGCTCATTTATAAGGCTGCCCTCGTATTGTTTGTGATGAATTTTTATTTTTTTTCTTGATTTGTTAAAGTATGTTAACTGGAGGATAGGAGTTGGTTCTACTGGGTATTGCTTTTGTTCTAGGCTAAAATTAATATGTAGAAACTGTTTTGGAGATGTTTCTAGAAATTGACAATGTCAATAAGTCATTTGTATGTTTCAATTTGAAAGTATAGAAAGCTTGACATTAGTAATGAGTTGAGTACCTTATGTTGCAGTAAGTATAACTTTAAAAAGCTCCTAACTTCATCTTGTTACATTTACATGGATACTAAGATGCCTATTATGCTACAAGACGAAAATTAAGATATATTAGTATCCATGTATATATATTCTACCTTTGCTTCATGATTAAAGTATTTACTTGATGTACATACCTGCTGACTATGTCATGATTCTAATGCAGGTTGCACGCTCAGGCCTTTACATTGGCTGCCTTAGCTGGAGCTGCAGTAGTTGAATATTATGACCATAAAAGCTCACAAGATAAGGAAGCTCAGTATGGGAATCTTGTTCCTTTAGATAATTCACACAAGAATTAAGTGGATTTTATCTTATGTGACCTTCAAACAGATCAAAAATTTTCTAAGAATTGTACATATGGGGTGCTGATTTCTCCCTTTGTGTACTTGTAGGATGTTTTTGTTGTTATTTTCTTTCTTCTCCCAAGCTATACTTTTACAGAGTATATACAATTCTGGAATTTGGTAACCAAGCTCTGTAACATACAATTGATAATGAAAATAATCCAATTTTGGTGAAAGTTGAATTTCTACACTGTTTTTCTGGATTCCTGAGAATGAATGTGCTTTGTGTGTTCTCACTGTTGTGTATGTGTATCCACAGCTGCAATTTAACCAACATACGTGATGGATACACTGCCTTTACTTATCTGTTTGAGGCTTTTTTTTGCATTGCCTTTTGGGGCGTATAAAGTTAGACATACCCTGTGGTTGGCTTTTTTCTCATTGAACAAAAATGATAAAGAATAGGGGATGGAAGGCACTCATGGTAGGATGGGGATTTTCCTTGTGAGGGAAGTGGCAAAGTACTTGCTCATGGTAGGAGGGGAGTATAATTAACGTGCAACAATAAGAAAGGGAAAGCCATACAGTTTGGTCTTAGAAGAGAGAGTGATTACTAGGCAAGGCAGAGCCTAAGGGTGACATGGCCTGGCACGAGGCCTCGTGATTTCTAGGCAAGGCAGGGCCTGGGGATGACATGACCTGGTACAAGGCCTCATGATTACTAGGCATGGCTGGGTCTGGGGGTGACATGGCCTGGTACAAGGCCTTGTGATTACTAAGCATGGAAGGGTCTGGGGGTGACATGGCCTAGCACGAGGCCTCATGTGCATGGTGTGCTGGTGGCCTGGGGTTGGCACAATCAAGACTTATAATTAAAAGTAAGAACTGGCACAACAACTCGACCATAACAAATCCTCATGTTCTACACCTCTAAACTCTTAATTTATCTGCTCATTATTGAAACACCTTCAGTATCACACTTGTGTTCAGAGAGAGAGAGAAAAAAAAAAGAAAAGGAAAAGCTAACTTATCATGTGATCTGAACTGTTAAAGCTGCTTGCCTGTGCATGAGATCTCTGCATTTTTTGACTGCAGTTATTCCTTTCTAAAATCTCTTCTATTACTAATAACAATATCAATATTAGTTTGTTTCAGATCTTACATTATGAGCAACAGATATGTAATTAATTATTATAACAGATTATCTAAGCATAATTTCTGCTAAAAGTGTGTTACACAAAAATAAAACATTCTGTGGGAATTATTGTAACCACTTTTTTTAACCCCCTAGTAATGTGATCTAACTGGAATTACCATCTTCTTTACATAAGTTCTGTTACATTTCTGTTCTTTTCCATCTCTTTTCTTTGCTATTAATATCTTCACCAGAAACTACAAGACTATCAGAGTATGAGTGTTAGGTGTTACTATCCTCTTATGAATCTCAAATCATTTCTTACAATCTTACAATGTGTTTCTTATATTTGAGCTTTCTCTTCCTTCTGCCATGCCCTGCTAGAGGTATTGGACATCTTCCTGCAGCCAGGACAGGAGGTAGCAAACTCACATCGATTTATCAGCTTGGCGATTCCTTATCTGATACCGGAAACTTAATCATTGAGAGTCCAGACGGAGTTGCCTCAGCCTTTGCTCGGCTTCCTTATGGTGAATCTTTCTTTAAGCATCCCACTGGTAGATGCTCAAACGGGCTGCTAATGATTGATTTCTTGGGTAATTTTTGACAATTCTTCATTGTTTTCTGGATTTCATTTATGCTGTTATGCATCTTTAATCTCTTAATTTCTTTCATTGATTCGTTGCTTGTGAGTGGTGAAACTTCATGTTGGGGCAGCAACAAGCATGTGCTTCTGTTTCGAATCATTAATATCATGTGTCAATGCAACATTCTTACTTTGCTAAACTTTATAAAGTTTATCACTAATAATATTTTTTTTCCCCTTGACATTATCAAAATTGTTTAGATTTTTAGTTAAAGCTGTCACATGTAATTGGTTAGTCTATGTAGTCACATGTAATTGGTTTTTGTTTGTGCTGAACTATAATTCTCAATTAGGATTTCCTTTTCCTGAATGCAAGAGTCATGGCTTAAGTATTTCCCTGAAATCTCTCATTTTCAGTAAGTTAGATTCGATACGATAATATGGAAACGTTTGATCAATTCAATTTTTACATCATGTTCTATCAAGATTTAGCTTTTACATAACAACTTTACTTTTGAATGTAATGTACTACCGTTTTTTTGTTTTATATTTTAATTTTCTTAAATTCCACTTCTTTTGGTGACTGATTAATTAGCAAAGGCGTTGGATATTCCGCACTTGAATCCATACTTAAGCAGGGATGCAGTTTTCACTCATGGAGTAAATTTTGCGGTTGCTGGTGCCACAGCATTGCCAACAGAGTCTCTTGCAGATAAAAACATAGTAAATCCTGTCACAAATAGTTCTCTCAGTGTACAGCTTGATTGGATGTGGTCACACTTCAATTCCATTTGCTATAATGACCAAGGTAAACACAGTCATTTGCGTTGCAAATTCGCCTATTCTAGCTAATATACAAATAGGTTTCGGTCTTTTCACCTTAAAACCCCTTGTTTGAACTTTTTTTAGGTATGAATTGAACTTGGTAGCCATTTACAAACTTTTTGATCCTTATCTAAACTTGTTGAACGTACAGTTTATTTTCTTATGGTGCCCTTGTCATACACACTTGACTTGGCATCTAATGTTTATGATCTAATTGAAATTGTTCAACAGACTGTGCAGATAAACTCAAGAATTCCCTATTTATTGTTGGGGAAATAGGAAGCAACGATTATTACTATGCATTGTCACAAGGGAAGACGATTGAGGATGTCAATAGCATGGTTTTTGATGTTGTCCAAGCGATTATTGAAGGCGTCAGAGTATGTTCTCCAAACACTGAATTATAATTATAGCATCTCACTTTCATCTATTCTTAAGGTTGGTGTAATTGTGCTCTTTCAAAGTATTAATTTTGTATTATGTTGTTAATGTTGTTAAGAGGGTCATCCAAAATGGTGCTACCAAGATAATTGTCCCGGGGACCTTTTCTTTCGGGCATTTTCCTGCCTATATCACAGCATGTCAAGCCAAAAACTCTGCAGCATACAGAAAACAGCGTCTGTTAAACAACTTGTCACTCTATCACAACGATGAGCTAAAAAAGAGACTTCAATTGCTGAAGCAAGATTATAAGAATATTACCATCTTCTACGGTGATTACTACAATGCTTTTAATCGGCTTTTGCAGAATGCTCCTCGTGTTGGTAAGTGTATTGAGTTTCTGTACATTTAAAAGGCTTGCACATTTTGTTTTTCGCCATATAATTGAAACAAAATTGCTTCTTGATCTCCTTCAGGATTCAATGGCACATCTGATCTTCGGAAAGCTTGTTGTGGAGCAGGAGGGCGATTTAGTTTTAATCCGAATAAAATGTGTGGAGCTCGAGGGGTTCCAGTATGTGCTAACCCTGATGGCTATGTAATTTGGGATGGTTTTAATCTGACTCAAAAAGCATATAGGATCTTGGCGAGATGGTTCTTTCAAAGTACAATCTCTCCCTTAATTAACTCATCTTGACAATTTATATACATTCTTTTTTGACTGTTATGGAAGTATTCCATGATTTTGATTTGCATTGCAAGTGTCTATGAATGTCATTGTCTATACATTGATCTGATGATGTACTACCCTGAATCGGACCAGTTCAGTAGATATAAAGTCATGCTCATATGTGTAGAAGTAAGAACTCCGAGTTTATATCTATCAAAAAAACTTGAAACTTGCCTATTAGTCCTCAAGATTTTCAATATGCATGCGCCATTGCGCTCTATAAGTCCCTAAATTCCCAAACAATCTACATGGACTCGTGTCATACATTTTAAGCATGTCACAGTTATAAATGTGAGTTGCACATACATACGCATCAAATTCTTTTCCTGTAAAATGTAAGTTGCATGAGTGCTTAATTTGGTCCGTCAGTTATGCATCTTAAACAGAGTCGTGCATGCTTGCAAGCTCTTCATACTAGTATAAATCAATAATTCAAAACTCATGCAGTCATGCTAACAATGAATAAATGTAAAAGTTACAAAACAAACCCATAAATTTACAAGAAAAATGGAGGTAGTTGCACTAATTAAACATGATTACTTCAAATTCTACGACTGTATCATTGAAGCCCTTAGTTCATTTTCTCAATTCAAATTCATCATTGCCTTTATTTTGATCCTTGCCTTTATCCACATCACTCGGAGGCGTGCCAACATCTACCTTGTCGATTTTGCGTGTTTTCAACCTCCAGAGTTCCACCGTGTTTCCATAGGTGCATTTATAGAACACTCAGCACTGCGAGAGAAAGAGTTCAGAACATCAGAAGTAAATGAGTTCGAAAAGAAAGTGATCACGAGGTCAGGGATGGGAAATGAGACTTATTCATCAGTAGGAATGGATATCATTCCTACTGATGGCTCTTTAAAACAAGCAATAGGAGAGGTACAACATGTACTTTTCACAGTTGTTGAAACTCTCCTTAAAAAACACAAAATTAGTCCTAAAAGTATAGATATACTTGTGACTAATTGCAGTATTAATTGTCCAACACCTTCATTATCTGCTATGGTTATAAATAAATTCGGGTTTAGAAGCAATGTAAGGAGCTTTCATCTCTCAGGAATGGGGTGTAGTGCTGGAATCCTCGCGATTAGCTTGGCTAAAGACTTGCTTAAAGTTCATAAAAACTCTCTGGCTTTGGTTCTTAGTACTGAGACTATTTGTTCTAATGTTTACCTGGGGAAGCAGAAGTCTATGCTGCTTGCTAATTGTTTGTTTCGGATGGGGGGTGCCGGCATTTTGCTCTCTAATCGGAAATGTGATAGAGCCGTGGCTAAGTATGAGCTAGAACACATAGTTCGAACCCATCTTGGTGCCAAGGATGATGCTTATGGGTGCGTATACTTTTTATTTTTATTTTTATTTTTGGTATCGCATACACGCATGATTAATACAGCAATTGTAATAATTGTTCTCGAATGATGTAAACAAAGTTAATGTTAAGTGGGGTCCAATATCTTTTAATCGTTTTATTGAGTGTTAGGTGATTAACATGTTAGCCATTTAGCCTTACTCTTTATAATCGCTAAATTTTATCCATAAAGTGATTGAATTTGCAATTGTTGTAGGTGTGTATTCCAAAAAGCCGATGATGAGGGCAAGGTAGGGGTATCCCTTTCAAGAACGGTGGTCCATGTAGCAGGGGAAGCGTTGAAAACCAACTTGACTATCCTAGGACCTCTAGTGTTACCCTACTCGGAGCAAATACGATTTGCCTTCTATTTCGTGTGGAACAAGCTTAGGCCATGGAAGAAGAAGCAAGCTCCCTATGTCCCGAATTTTAAGAAGGCGTTTGATCATTTTTGCATCCATGCCGGAGGTAAGGCCGTGATAGATGCGATCAAGGATAGGTTGAGTTTAAGTGATAGGGACGTCGAGGCATCTAAGATGACACTTTATAGGTTTGGGAACACTTCATCCTCTTCTACATGGTACTCTTTATGCTATCTTGAAGCTAAAAAGAGAGTTAAGAAGGGTGATAGGGTATTCCAATTGTGTTTTGGGAGTGGATTTAAGTGCAATTGTGCTGTTTGGAAGTGTATTTCTAAAGTGGTTAGCAAGGATGTTTCCAATGCATGGACTGATAGGATAAATAGGTATCCTGTTGATGTACCTGAAATAATTGAACATTGAACACAAATAAAACCATAGTCATGATAAATCTTGTTTATACAGCTTTGAAACATCAACCTTTCATAATATTAGCTAATTGTCAATTAATGATAATAATAGTCAAAATATGCACCGAGAAACATACATGATCAATATGGAACAGTTTTATAAATATGAAGATCTTATTTGAATCGTTTTGATCTAATTCTGACTATAACAAAAACAACGTTTTAAACTAAGGTAAACATCACACATTCCACTTTAATTTTCGGTCATTTTTATTTATACTACTTTAACTTTAACCTCTTCTTCTTTTTTTTTTATTTTTTTTATTTTTTTTAGTGAGGATGACGTTAGTGCAAGTATGATGTGGATTAAATGATCCTCTTTCAAGCTATAGCTAAGTAGAGTAGGACTACTACTACTATCATTGTCACTATTATCCATGGTTCCTTTTGCCTCTAGCCTACATATACACAAGTACTACTACGTCTTATTACAAACTCACACTCTTGCTGTCATTCATCTCTTTAATTTCAGTCTTAGATATTTGTGCATTGCGTGTTCATCAACTTCCTTCTTAGCTTTCTGATTTATTATTCCTCATTTTCCCCTTTTACTTCAATTCCTACCTTTTTCCCCTCTCTGTTTCCTTGTTTTTACTGTCATCGATCTTTACTCCTTTGCTTGTATTTTAAGGTTTCCTCTCTTCTTCTCCTTCTTCATAAATACTGTCTGAATTCATGAGTTTCATCAATATGGGTTGTTTTGTGTTGATTAATCACATTTATTAGATTGATGGGTTTGTGTGTATTAATCTTAGCTTATGATTTTAGCTATTAATATCAAGTGGTGATCACACAAATGTTTTTAACACCTTATCAGCCGGAGTAAGTGAGTAACTATACTTATGAAATACTCCGTATATAGTACTTCTCCTCGTCAGGAATGTATACCTTTTTGTACAAAAAAATTATGAAATATAGTTCAGATTAATTAAGTTTTGAAAAACTATGGACTGATAAAGGTTAATAAAGGCTAATTAAGTCCATTTTAAATTATACAATAATTAAAATAAAGTTTACCAAACTTAATTAGGTAAGTTCAATTAATTCAGATAAGTAAAAATCGCGTAAGTAGAACAGACTTTTTGAACAATAAACTCCGTAGCTCAAAAAAACACAAATGAGAGTAATTTCTTAGGGGGAAAAAAAAAAAGTTGATATAGAAAGAGTAATTTTTAATAATAAGAGTCCTATCTTAATCAATTTCCATTTATGGTTAAAAAAAATGGAAGAAAAGCTTGTGAAGTAGAGTGATAAAAGTGAAACTTATTTTGACACAAGTAGAACCTAGCTCTGACTGAAACTGAGAAAGAAGTCCCCCGCTATCTTAGGCAAAATCCAGACCAATTTCCAAGCTGCTTTTTTTTTTTTTGTCATTACTCTTTTTTTCTGACTCCCATTATCAATTGCAACTCGTCAACCTTACGTACTCCATACCATAATCAAAATTTTTCTAATGTCAGATTTATTTATTTTATTTTATATTTTTATTTTTTTTCATTTTGTTAATTTTCAACTTTGTAATACGAATACTCTATTATACATTACATATGTTTAGAATTGGGCATCATGGCATGGATCGGATAAGCACAAGGAGGTGGAGGACCAATCAGGCACACAACCAAAAAAAATAAAATAAAAATAAAATTATTTAATCAAATAGAGGCTAGGGCATGAGAGTCACACTAGTGGATTTAACCGTTTAAGTGGTGTATAGACATCATTTTTAAAAGTTGGCACAGATTTGATACAAATATACGACGGGCTAGTTTGCGTGTCGGTACACTTATTTTAGTCAAGCTGTACATATATCTATATATACATGAGCTCTTTTTCGTTTTCTTTTTTTATTTTTTATTTTTTATTAATGATTGGCACGAATTTAGTAAGATATGAATTTTTCTTAACTCATTTCAAACACAACTTGCTTGAGCATGAGACATATTGATACGATAGTTGGCTGCACAACTAACTCATGATGACCAACTTTATACACACTTCAATACTTCATCCCTTTATTTTTTTTTTAAATGTAACATCCTCTAAACATACATTTTAACGAAGAGCTTAAAAAGGTAAACACACTTATGCCTTCCCTCATAGCAATGTCTAACTTATATTTCCTCCTTTCCCTTAATATTGTAACAATAAATCAATAATCATTCTAAAATATTTTATATATATTGTAATTTTTTCTTATTTGTACTCCGTATATGTTTTTCTCTCCATATCTCTCTCCATCACATGGGTTTATGTTTCTATTTCTCTCTATCTATCTCATGTTAGAATCCATGCTTATATGATTATATCCCTTGTTACAATATTAGAAGAAAGGAGAAAACACTATACAATAATTAATTTGTCGATTTACCTTTCTAAATTTTTTTTAACCTGTATGTCAAAGAAATGTGTTGCGATTATAAAAAACGAAGGAAATAAAATAATTTAATTATATTGAGGTTTTCCCCCGTACTTGACGAAGTTATCTGCCAGTTGATCTGTTCTGCAAGCTAAGTTCACTGACACTCTCATCATTCCCATCCAATTTTCTAATTTCATGTTTTTTTTTATTTTTTAACCCTTTTCCTCTGTTCCTTCTGCTTTTGGTAGTTTGTTTGAATTTTTTTTTACCCCGATATAAAGTCCAATGTATGCAACTATGCAATGCATGCATCTTTTTTTCCTTATTATTGAAAGAATTGACTTTATTTTGTGTGTTTGAGTAAAGTTGTAAGACTTGAAAATTAATTCCATTGGACAAAATTGGAAAGTACTTCTATCAAGCTGAGCCTAGGACTTTATTTACAGATCCGTACGTGCTCACATTAACACTAAACAAAAATTTGAAAAAACAAAAACAAATATTTTGAGTTAAGGTTTCATGGAATTGAACTCTTTTTTCTTTCTAGTTTGTTCTACTACGTACAATTGTTTACTTGTATAGAATATGAATGGATGATTTTAATTTGTGTTTCTTTAGCAATAATATGATGAAGCTCGAAAGGATAAAAATATATCGGAGTACAATATAAGTAGAGAAAGCTAAGTTACGATAACTTATTGTGAGACATTTAATTGAATTTACTCGGTTCTTCACATCTTCTCTAATAAGTCTCCTGTTCTAAGATGTGCTTACTCCAATTTCACATCATATTATTATAAATTGATTATAAATTACGATTTACAACACTATATGCGTCTCTGACTATACTGACTAGTATCTTTCTAGCTTAGTTTTCTACTTCTCTTTGTTAGAGGACTAACTTTAAGCTGATGGTTGATGTCCAGAAATATGTTTTATACTCTATCACTCTAAATGCATGCAGTTCTTGAGTTATCATTAATATATATAGCTATATAAGTCTGTAAATACATTATGCTGATTAAGTTAATTTTAATAATGACTAGACCAGAATTTAATTAATGATGTAACGAACTTTGTCCAACATTATTTACACAATACAACCGGTTGCTACTTGCTAGTATATACAGAGCAATATGGTTTTGCTCATTTGCACTAATTAAAGAAGATCTGTTTATGCTCTTGTTACCCATGCATGACTTGCACGCACTTGACAAATTTGACCATTTTTTGCAGGTTTAAAAAATTAAGCGATGTGAGAGAAATAAAATAAATTTACTCATATTTGTAAACGAACAACATTAATTTGATTATTTTTTGCAAATGAACAAGTACGATAATTGGTTATACTCCTTACATTGTAAAATACTGTAAAAGTTTTAAAGTTATACTGCTTATTTTTTTCATTAGCTAAGTCAAATGTTGGAAAGCAGATTACTGCAAATAATTCCATGCCAAATATTGAACTTTGAATTCTATAATTCTATGATATACTCGTACTAACCAAGGGAAGAACATAAGTACTCCATATAAAATACTACGTAAAAAACATTTGAAAGTTGTTAATTATGTGGACAATTATCAACGAAGGACTACGACAATAAGTATCTATGACGTTATGAACAATAATGACACGAGATTGAACTCGTATACGTCATTTATTTTTTGTGACTCTAAATTTACAGTACATACTACTGTAGAGTAGTAAAACAGATTAAAATTACCTAAGATCCATAAAATTATAATACAAACCTCATGATTAAGTTGAGAGCATCCATGCAGAAGATCGAAGAAGAGAAGTGAGAAACTCATGTTGGAGTAGGAGAGCACGTGCAAAGCTCGTGAACTAAGAGAGCTAGCTTGCACGTGCCCTGCTTCTCCAGCACGAGCCACTCACTCATAGCTAATTGTTGTGATATCTTCCTTGGTTTTATTCCTTCCTCACTACTCGGCCTATTTATATACAAAGGTGGAGGAGAGAGTGTGTGTGTTAAATGGGTGGAGTCTTGGAATGGCCAATCCTTTAATGCAATATGTGGATATATATATAATAATATTTCCTTGTCTTAGCATGCATATAGTTTTATACAAGTAAATAAATAAATAAAAATTAAATAAGTGAAAAAAATAGGGTGGCAAATGTGAGACACTGAGACCTAACTCGAGAGAAAAGAAAGTATTGAGAAAATTCATAAAAAGAAAATGGAGCAAATAAATGTGAATGGTCAAAAACAAATAACGACCAAGTAAAAAGATGTTAGGTAAGCTATAATAAAGAGAAAAAAAAGAATTTAATAAAGATACGAGTGCTTCTATTAGAGTTGAATTTTAAAAAATTGTGAAGCTTGATTGATAAAAAAAAAAAAAAAAAAAAAAAAAAAAAAAAAAACAACTTAAAATGAAAAATACTGAAAATATGAAGTTTTCACTTTTGTGATTAGGCATTAGATTTTTGAATTAAATGAGACTTTTACTTAGTAACAGAGGGAGTGATAACGATACTATCACTTCCTCGTAAAACTAAATAATGGTACGGATCGGAGTAGTTAGGTGATGTTTGGTTGGCATAATAAAATGTGAGAATTGAAAATTCCTAGGAATTGTAATTATAGAGAGTTGTTTGGTTGACAAAAAAATAGTGGAATGGGAGAAGTAGAAAATCCTAGGAATTTTCACTTCCCACAAAATGTAGGAATTTAATTACCTACCTCCCCCTAGATAAATATAAATTTCTATGGAAAATTATTTCCCACATTGCAAACCAAATAACTTTAAAAAAAATCCCATGAATTTAAAATTTTAAAGTAAGCAATAATTCCCATAAATTCCAAATTCATGTGATTTTCTATTTCCTTGGTTAACTAAACTATCGCCTTAATAAATATAAAAATTAGTTTGCATGAACTAACTCAAAAAATAGGGTTAATGATATAGCTTAGGTTTGCATGACTACTATAGAGGATATGATATTTGAGTGTGTTACATAAATAGCGTGGTAAACACTCATAAACTTCAACTTTAAATGCAAAAGATAGATTTGGTTAGACAAGGAGTGTGAGTGTCAATTCAAATGTCCCAAAATTATCACATTTTTAAGCTTTGCTTGCACTCCGCGTGACTCAAGTCACCGCTAGATTTGACTCCTTTTTTTGTCAGCTTGGTGCGTGTGCATTCTGCCTACCCTAGCTACCCTTTTCTTATTCATCTTTAACGGTTCTACCCTGCTAGTAGGATTTTTTACTACGTAATTTTTTTTAGAAGTTTAGAACAAACGTAATGGCTATTTTATTGAAAAACTTTTTGATGGCTACATAAATGGTAATTATATTAATGAATAAAAAGTTTAAGTTGTTTGTATAATCGCCTATGATTTAATTAAGGAGTCACGATGCAACTATGGGAATGTAAAAATTATTGAATGTAAATCATGTAATGCAAAGGTAAGTAGAGAAAAGGCTTTTAATTTGTCTCTAGTTTACAAAGTGCTCTGTATTGCATTATATTATAGGCAAAATTGGCCTCAATACTCTGAACTATTGCTTAAGTGCACCGAGCACCCTATACTTTGCATAGTAGCCAAAACACCACAAACTAATGACTTGGGTGCGAAGCATACCTTTAGTGAGTTTTTCGGTCACCATTTTCACCGGAACCGGTAAATTAAATTTTTATTTTTTGATTTGCGTGCTGAAAAATGTCCCGTTAAGATTTCGGGGGTCATTTTGACCCTTATGCGTCCAAATTGAACTCGAAATAAGCAAAAGAATAGCATAAATACTTTGTTTTGCATGTTATAAAATATCTCAATTTGCGTGTCATTATTTTTAAGCCGAATTGAGTCATTTACGTTATTTTTTTTTTCTTATTACGAGCTCAATTTGGACCCTTAAGGGCCAAAATGACCCCCCGCAACCTTAACGAGACCTTTTTTCGGCATGCAAATCGAAAAATAAAAATTTAATTCATTGGCTCTGGCGAGTATGGTAGCCTGAAAATTTACTAAAGGTACGTTTTGCACCCAAGTCATTAGTTTGTGGTGTTTTGGATATTACGCAAAGTACAAGATGCTGGACGCACCCAAGCCATAGTTCAGAGTGTTGACGCCAATTTTGCCTATATTACATTATACACTACATACGTGGGTTTTATAAATGACGTTTGAAGTGAGAGTGAGAGATAACTCAGTGGTTAGAGCTTCCTTCCCGATTCCAAGAGATCATGAAATCACTTGTCCTTGTGGCTCTCCAAACACACACACACACAAAAAAAAAAAAAAAAAAAAAAAAAAAAAAAAAAGTTTGAAGTGCTCTAAGTAATGATTTGGGACTTTGGGTTAGAAGGTGCGTCCCTATGTGGCTATGTATTTCTTTGTTTTGCATGTGTTCGTGGCACATGTATGTGAGGTGTGAATCGTGTGATCGTCAATCATTGGAGAAAGAAGCAAAAACTAAAACCTACATCTCATCATATATATATAGACTTTGTTTAATTCAATGGCTCATACGATCATATATTAGAAAATTCAATTTGTACATTGTATATGTGGTAAAAATATTTCATAAATATTACAAGTAGAAGATGTAACCAATCAACTACCCAACACAAATTCACAATTCACATAAATGAGTTAAAAGGACGATGGGATTGCTTTCACAATCTAGTTATTAAGGTGGACTAGGGTGGTGGAAGTATTACTTAGTTCATGGGTAAAGAAATAGTTTTGATTTATTATTTTTGTTCATTGGACAATATCATGTATAACCTTGTTTCATCTCTTCTATGTTTACCCAATGATTTATCAATCTTTTACTCAATTTTCTTACTTAATTCACTTCTTTCTAACACTCATCTGTTTTTTATTATATATTCTTAAGTTGTGAATGTGCATTATATAGTAGAAGAAAAACTACTTCGCATATTTCTTGTTTTCGATCATCATTATAATTTATTAATTCAAATGAAAATAACATTTAATCGTTGTTTGACAAATACATAAGGAAAAAAACATGCTCACATAGCATGTTATTTATTTTATTCGTCCTGGTACGTTGCTTCACAAAATAATTTGAATTTTTTATTTTTAATATATGTATTTGAAAATAAAATATTTTGTAAATGTTTAAATGTATGCGTTAAAAAATTGTGTAGAACGTTAAATAATAAGATAAACAAAAGCTTTAACTGTCATAATTATTAGAGAATAATAATGGAGATAGTATTGAGTACTTTTTTAAGCTTAACAAATGTTTTACGCAATATTTGATATTTAATGGATAAAAAGCCATTAATATCTTGTAGCAATGTTACGAGTGGAGGTGGATAATGATGCATGGAATTTGATCTTGGGAGGGACCGGAATGTTGCGTGTGAAAGCAAAGATTATGATGATTTAGGAGGAGGTGCTATTATTGTTGCCGAAGAAATTTGTGCTTCTTTTAGGCAAGGCAAGGTTAGTCCCTTGTCCCTAGGTTGATTTGATTCAAATGTTGATTGACTTTTTAATTGCGTTATGTTTTTAGTATCTTAGGAAATTGGACAATTGGTCTTAGGAAAACTATGCTGTTACAATATGAGCGTTTAATCCATTTCGTAATTTTTACACTCTAAAGAAAGCCCTACTTGTCTTCTTGGTTAAGGCCTTTCAACTTCGTTGTTGAGGAAGTAAGTACATGTCAACACGTGAGTATGTGAATTAAGTTGCCGTCGTAATTAGATGTGTATGAAATTGTTGGTGATGTGTCACCATACTATTGGTTTGACAAAAGCAAAACATTTCAATTTTCTTTTTTCCCAATTGGTTCATGTGGGCTTTTGCTCCACAAAATCACAAATATAGAGTTTGAAGATGAGGAGACTCTACAAAGTTTGAGATTTGTTTCCGAGTTTTTTTTGCAAGATGTCCTACGGGAGAGTTACGTTACTAAGACTGGCTTCTTGCTCGGATGTATCTGTAACGAACGGAAGCACTGGTTGCTCGGAGTTCCGCTTCCGACGATCGAGTTATTACGTGTACGGGGAGTAAAATGCCGAAAGGAAGTAAATCTTCTCGGATCCCGAGATCAGGTATTTTCTCTGATGTGAGAGAATTGATTGTGATGTAATAAATGAACGTTGTTTTCAAAATGGGGTAAATGTCCCTATTTATAGGGCATTGGGAATAGTGCTCTTATGTAGGTCACTTGACCTAGATTTGGTGGGTTACGCCGCTTTTGCGGTTTCTCGGGAAATGGGCCTTGAAAGCCGTCATTCCCTTTGAATATCTGTATGCCACGTGTCAAATCCAGGTAGGTCCATTTGGATTCCTCCTAGGGTGACACGTGTCACATTCTCATTGGTCCACGTGGTCGGGGTAAAAATCCCCAAATCATTTGCCCCTCACAGGGGTCACGTGACGCGCCTCGTGGCGCCTGTGACAAGTGTCACGCATGCACGGGTGAACAATATTTTAACTGTTTACCTTCTGGAGTAAATTTCAAAATCCCCTCTATAAATACTTTCACTCCCTCATTCTCGCATATTCACGAAAAATCTTTGAGAGAATCTTTGACTTTTAAGAGAATTTGATTATTGCCGCTTGTGTTTGATCCGCCTGCATCGTAGCCGTCCTAAGCAGTTTCAACAGTACCTTCATCCAAAAGGTAATCGCCTATTTTCCCTCTCTTTTTTGCTTTTTAATTACCGTTTGTATTTGTTTTTCCTTGTTTTCAAAATGGTTTCACAAACACACACGGCACGACCTAGGATAGCTGTCAGCCGGTCACCCGGGACAGCTGAATCTAGGACTAGGAGTGCCGCCTGCCCTACTTGGACTCCCCTCTGCAAACATCCCCGAATCCGACCGTCTCTGTGTCTGTGCAGGCTACTATGGCCATAACAAAAATGATGGCCCAAGGCCCTATAGATGGTGAGGAGAACGGCGACACTATTAAGGTGCCAAGAAATGAAGTTTATAATTACCCACCCGACCCTCCAAGTACGCCGAGTGATTTTATCTTGAATGAGTCAGATGATGGCCTGGGTTTGACAACAATGCATCCGGCTCTGAGCAAGGCCTCAGTCGGATGCTGCTCCTGGCGGTTCCAATGCTGGAACAGAGTCGCCTGTGCCTCATAAGGAGCCCGAGAGCTCTGATTTTGATTCTGAGTCTGCGGAGGAGGCCGCCTCTGCTAAGAGAGGGCGAGGGGAGGCTTCTTCCTCTGCCCAAGAAGAATTCACTCCTTACTTCACCTATATCTCAGCTAGCACCCAGAGAAATATGCGCAAGAAGTTGAACGACTTCCGAGCCGCCCATGTCATGGGGGCCAAATATGAAATTCATGTTCCTGATTTGGATGACACGGTCGTCTGGCCGTTTGGGTCCAGTTATAGAGACTAGGGGTGTTCAGATCTGGGTACCCGCGATTTCAGGTATCCGAAAACGCGGGTACCCGAGTTTTCGGGTACTTAATTACCCGGCCCATGTCCCGACCCGTGAAATCCGGGTACCCAAAATTCCCGGGTCGAGTCAGAGGGTACCTGAATAAAATTTTTAAAAAAATGTAAATACATATGGTTTAATGGCTGCATTCGAAAGAATTAAAAAAAAAATAGTACTCATACACAAATTGAAGATAATTAAAATTCAACCTAAGAATCATAAGAAAAATAATAGTTGCAAGCTTGCAACCACAAATAATATACAAAATATCAAAGATAAACATAGACAAAAGTCACAAAACACCATTAACATTCACAAATGAACAACCCAACTTTCAAATTCAAATATGAACACGACAATCAAAACTCATACTCGCGCGGTTGCCGACTTGCCGCAGCGGTGGGAGATCTCTGCCGTCTCGCGTGGCTGTGTCGCTGCAATGGGACTTGGGAGATCTCTCATGTGGTTGTGCTTGTGCCGCTACGGTGGGACCGAAGACCTCTACCGTGGTTCGATTCACTGGGCTAATGAATGCTTGCTCTTGATGTTAATTTGTTGTTGATGCTAATTGCGTGATTTGCGGGTTGATGTTTGCTCTTGATTTTTGCTGTTGATGTTTTCATGATTTGTGAAATTGTGACTATGAATCTATGAGTGAAGGGGAGAGAGAAAGAGAAGGAGGTGTGGTGTGCGTGAGTTGTGACTGTGAGTGAAGGAGAGAGAGGGGGAAGAAGAAAATGTGTGACGGCTGTACACACATAAAAGTATAAAACCCTAATTGCCTAGCTACAGTATACACATAATCAAATATTTAAAAAAAAAAAAAAAGTTAGCGGGTCAGCGGGTACTCGCCTAACACAAAAGTCGGCCCATGACCCGACCCGCTACACTTCTTTTTTAGCGGGTTGGGTACTTGACCCGTCAATTTTGAAAAAAATCAGAAAAATACCCGCTTAAATTTATCGGGTCGACGGGTCAGCGGGACGGGTTAATCGAGTCGGGTATTTTTGAACACCCCTAATAGAGACCAATGCTTCGGTTGTTACGAAGCAGCAATACAGGCGGGCCTAAGATTTCCCCTTAATCCAGATGTGGAGAAGATTATGGATGGTTACCGCCTGGGGGTTTGGCAACTTGCCCCCAATTCGTGGGTGAACATACTAGGGTATATCGCCGCCTATAATATGCTCGGGGTAGAGCCGGCCTTCGAAGCCTTTGCCTCAATGCATTATCTGAGCAAAGCCCCTTAGTCAAGCGGCCCTAGTTGGTATACACTGACTTGTCACAAAGGGTACATGATGACCGTGGGCAAGGAAAACAAGTGGAAGGACCGGCGAAACAGATTTTATATTATCTCTTCACCAGACACTCGGAGGAACCAGAGGTATAATTTCTGGAACCAAAACCCATACCTTCTAGGCACAAAAGCTATTCTCTTGCCTGTAACTGAGGAAGGCTAGGATCAAATTCTGATGCCTGGTCTATTTAAGGTCACCACCAAAACCATAGAGGGAGGGAATAGGAGAGAGATAATTCTCCACAATTACATCCCTAGGTTTGAGGGGCTGATGGATGACACTTATCTTGCCGCCTGTGGCCTTATTACAGAAAAAACCAGAGGTAGAGGGCCGGATGAGTCTGCTTAGCAATTTTTATTTTTTATTATTTATTTTTTTTACTAACATGCATCCGACCTTTTATGCAGAAGAAGCAATGGAGCAACTCTCTCCAAGCAAGAAACCTGCCAGCTGTGCAGCCGCCTACCGCCAGATGATAAAGCATAAGTCCTAGACCTTCAAAAAGATCAGCTTAACCATGTAAGTTTTTCACAAACTCTTTGTTGGTAGGGGTGGCAAACGGATCGGATCAGGTCGGGTTCGTGTTCGGGTTTTCGGGTTTCGGGTCAGCTAACCCCCAACCTGAACCTGATCCATATAAGTTTTCGGGTTGAAAACCCCAACCGGAACCTGATATTTTCAGGTTTGGGTCAACCCGAAAACGACCTGATTTGACCTGATTTTTTTTTTTAATTTTTTTTTTAATTTTTGTTATTACCTGAATAACCTGATTTTTAGTTTTTGATTACTTAAAAGTAAATAAAACCTGTTTTTTTTTTTTTTTTTTTTTTTACTTAATGTTTTCAAACTTAAAATTTTCAAGAAAACAAAATAAAGTCTAGCACTCTAAGAAGTTTAAATGCCTAATTAATTATTACATACCAAAATAAAGTTTAATAAATTACAAATCACAATTAAAAAGAGACAAATTTATTTAAAGTAACAATCTCTCGAATCTTCTTCTCACACTCCCAGAAGAAAGCTGTTGTATATGAGATTATGGGCCATGGGTGTCTGCAAAAAAATATAACAAAATAAACGATTAAAAAGACAACTCAAGAACAACAAATCAGAAACATCTCAGGAAAAACAACCAAAATAGCAAGAACAAATCAGTAAGAAAACAACAAAAATTAGCAAAAAAATCAACAACAATCAGCAAATCAGCAAGAATCAAGAACAACAAATCAGCGAAAAACAAAAATTAAAAAGACATGCACAATAATTTTTCTCGTAAAAAAAAAAATACAATCAACAACACAAATTAACAACACAAATTTTAGGCATATTAAGACTATTATCAAGCAAGAACAACAACAATAATCAAATACAAAAACTGTATTAAAAAAAAAACAAAACAAAACGGAAACAAAAGTAATTACCTTTAAGTTGACGGCTTGAAGGAGAGGAAGATTTGAAGATGGAGAACTGGAGATCGAAAGCAAAAATCAAGAATGTAGAACTTTAGAACTTGAGATCGGAAAAAACCGAAATAAAAACGGAAAAAATCGAAACGAAAACAACAAAAATTAACAAAAAAATTACCTTTCAGGTTTGACGGCTTGAAGGGGAGGAAGATTTGAAGATTTGAAAAAAAAAACGAGAATGAAAAATTCAGAAATTAGAACTTCAAATCCAAAATAAAAATGAAACGAAAACAAAAACAATTAATAAACATTACCTTTCAGACGTTGAGGAGTGAGAAGGAAAGATTAGAGCCTTAGAGGACAAAAATTGAGAACGAAATTAGGGTTTTTACTCAGTGAGAAGAGGGAGAAGTTGAGAGCTTGAGAACGAAAGAGTGAAAATGAAAACCAGAGCACTAAGAAGTTTTAAGAGAGAGAAAATGTGAAATTAGGCGTGAAATGAAAACGGCTGATAGTTGTTTTTAGGGTTTTTGTTTTTAGGTTTCAAACTTTCAATTGGGCTTGGGCCATCAAATTATCAAAATGAAGTTTTTTATTTTTTTTTACAAGACTTTTTTTCGGGTTATAAGGTCGGGTTCGGGTTGACCCGACCTGATTTTGACCCGAAAATAATTTCGGGTTACGTGGGTCATTTTCGGGTTGAAATTTTCAACCTTAACCTAACCCATTTAATTTCGGGTCGGGTTCGTGTCAACCCATTTAAGTTTTTGTGTCGAAATTCTCAACCCTAACCCACTATTTTCGGGTCGCGTTCGGGTCGGGTTTTCGGGTCGGGTTAGTTTTTTCCACCCCTATTTGTTGGTAGACATGCGGACTGTGCTGTCCTATACTGACAGCTTTATCCTTTTAAATTTTTTTAGGAGGGACCAAACAAGCCTCCTGTTCCCCCCAACTTTGGCGAGAGGCCGCCGAAGTGCCCGTTTACGAGAGATGACCGGACGCCTTCCTAATCAAGGAAGTCAGTGGCGCAGAAGAATCCCTCAGCCGCCAAATCTGGAGAAGACTCACACCCCACCACTAAAGGCAAGTCTCCTGCTTCCCCTGAAGCTCTCAAAAAGCTGGACGCCCCTAAAGCGTCAAAGAGCGGCAAGCCACTCACTGCTGCTGTCGGCTCAGCAGCTACAGGCGGGCTTGCCCCACGCGGACGTAAAGACAGGCGTCCCTAGGATTTGGAGGTTGACATTCAAGGTATTAGTGCCTTTTACCCTTTACCTTACCCTTGTAGGGTAAAGTCTTATCAGCAGTCGCCCAACAACTCCGAAGACACCCGATCTATAGGTCGAGCTTATGCCAACTTCTCACCAAGTGTTGAATGTGCAGATGTTACCCAGAGGCTAGATATATAGCAATTCGCCAAGAACATGCTTAAGGTCGTCTCTCCTGAGTAATGGGAGTCTGTAAGAGGGGTTGGCACTCTCAATTTTGACGCCATATTGGCTCTTCTGGCTGAGGTATAATATCTAAGTTAGAATTCTTGTATTCTTTCTGTATCGTCTGTTTTTTAACAAAGCTTTTGACGGATGCAGGCGATGCTGCGAGTCAATGGTCTCAAGAAGACGTTCTCAGACAAACAAAAAGAGGTAAAGAGTGCCAAAGAAAGGGCCGCTCTAGACCGAGCCATGTATAACATATGTAAAAATGAAGCATTGACCCATGATATCCTGCATTCAAAAGCGGATTTCTACCTGCAGGTTAAGCAAAAAATAGAGGCGGCCCAAAAGAGGGTGACTGGGCTTGAGGCCCAACTAAAGACCGCTAAGTTCGAGCTTGAGACGCTTGTTGATACGGGCAGAGAGACCGACAACCTTCGCCGTCAAAATGAGAACTTAAAGCGGAAGTTGTCCAACCAAGAAACGCAGTTGAAGCAAAAGTTTGAGGCCGGAGCCGAGGAAGAAAAGAAGCAGTTGATCTCTGACAATGAGGCTGATTATGTCACCCGGATGAAGATGGCCTGGAAAGTTTCGTTTCCTGAGGACGACTACTCTGTCAAGGAGTATTTTTTTGACGAGTCCACCGATGCACTTAACAAGCAGCAAATGCAGTAGGAAATGGAGGACGCGTCCGGGGATAAGGATGTGGCTGATAATGAGGGGCTCGAGCATCGTGAGGAGCATCCCGATAATGTAGATGGACAGCCGGATGGTAATGAAGAGGAGCTCTCCCCTCAAGCAGATTAAGCTTATGCTCTTTTCTTTGGCCTGATGGCCTGAAAGTCATTTTTTCGGCCCGCGTGCCGAGTATTGATGTGTCTTTACCGACGGTGGAGTCGGGTTTTATCAACAATTTTCTCTTCTCTTCACCGATTGTAATATCGATTAATAATTTCTTTTGACCGACCATGGGGTCAGTTTTTTAATATGAATCAGCTGGCCGATTTTATTTTTTTGATTATTGGTTCTTGAATTTTTTCTATGCATGAATTTGACTAAGTATATAGCCTTTTTGTTTTATGCATGCGGCTCTCTCATTATACCAGATGCTCTTGTCCTTGGACGGCTGTGCGCTTGGTTTCAAAAAGTGGGCTGATTGACTTAGAAATTTTTGGTGCTTGAAAGGGTATGACTAATTTCCAAGTCAATCAATCATTATGGTGATTGCCCCAAACCAAGCGGTCAGTCGTCCATCAAGCAGATGGATAAACTTTAGGTAGCAGATGGCCATTGGCCATATTCAGTCGTCTTGGACGAATGATTTTTTGATCAATTCAATCATTAGTTGTAAATGCTAAGTTTTAGGCTTAGCTTTCAATTCCAATTAGGCCCGACTCTGCTTCTGTTGAGCAGGCTGGCTATCCCGTAGGGGAGTCTGGGAGTCTGTTTTTTGTGCCGTCTGTATTGCCCCAAAGCAATAGCAGGCGCCTGATAGCGTTATTATCAATTTGATAATATTTTGACCCAAGGTGGAATAATGGTTGAATATCGCTTGTTATCACATAGGCCATGCAGTTATTTGAGCCGTTTAGGTCCCATATTAGATTCTTCAAGGTAAACAACTACGACTAAGGCCTAAATAAAGCAATCGGTTGGGTCGTCTATTATATGTGTTTATAGAGTAATGTACCACCCAAATGGGAGATGCTCTCTGTAAGCGAATTCACCCGGATGGGCGTCGCCGAATGTCTCACTCTTGTCAGAGTAGACGGTTGGTTCACATTTTGCCGCACGTACATCGCACAGGCGGTGTTCCCATAGGGAGACATATCTAGTAAAAAAATAAACTAATTGAAAATAAAAAGCATTTTTCATTAATAAGCCTTTCATTTGCAAAAATTTACAAGTCTCAGAAGTAGTACTTTTTCAAGTTATCTACGTTCCAAGTTCTGGCTAGCTGTCTGCTGTTTGGTATTTCTAGGTGGTAGGTGCCGCCTCTTACTTCCTTATAGATCCGGTAGGGACCTTCCCAATTGGGTGTCAACTTGCCTTGCTAATTGGCCCTACTGTTGCCTCCATCTTGCGTAACAAAAAGTCCCCCACTTTCAAGGGCCGCTTGTGTACTCTCTTGTTGCAGGCTCTTGTCATTCAAAAACGGTAAATCTCATGGCGCAAGGAGTCATTGCCCCGTTGTTCTGGGAGTGAGTCCAATGCCAGTCGCATGACCTCCCAATTAGCCTCTTCGTCATACAACATGATTCGAAGATTCGGCTCATAAAGCTCAATAGGCAAGACGGCTTCAGAGCCGCATACCTTGAGGAATGAAGTTTTGCCGGTTACACCTTTTGCTGTGTTCTGATGGCCCATAGAACATGAGTTAGCTCTTCACCCTACAGGCCGCCAGCTCTTTCAATTTTCTTCTTAATGTCGTCTAAGATTAGCTTGTTGAAGGCTTAACCTGGTCGTTTGCTTGGGGTCGACCGACTGATGCAAAGCAGTGGGAGATCCATTGGTCTCCCAGCCAATTCTTGAGGGTTGGCGTCTCAAATTGAGGGCCATTGTCAAAGACCATAGACATAGGTACTCCGTAGTGGGTGATGATGTTCTTCCAGATGAAAGAGATGACATCCTTTGTCTTGATGCCTTTGACATCCTCGGCCTCCACCCACTTGGTGAAGTAGTCAACAGCAACTAGAATATACCGTCGTTCGCCTAGCGCAGGTGTATATGGACTCAAGATATGTTGGGTTTTGCAGTGTCCGACACCGCACGGAAACAAAACCAGAAAACTGGATCGCATGCATAATAATTACAACATAAACAAAAGCATGCAAATAAACAAAACACGAACACATAAAGAGAGGAGAAAGAAAGAAACTCACCCTAGATGCGTGCTTCGCTCACTCAATGAGCTCGTACTTGAAAGCTTCAAGCTCCGCAAGTGCGAAACCTCCGACGGCTCACACCCTCGCTCACCGAACCGGAACCGGCCCCTGCCCCGTAGCTTAAACGGGACTAGACCAAAATTAACTTAGAGTTTACGAACTAAGGTTTTCTCGCTTTTGGAGATCTCTTAGAGCTCACCAACTCAAGTGAAATTCCCAATACCAAATGATTGGTATTTGTAGAGAAATGTTCCCAAGAATTCCCATCATCTTTCAATGTGGGATAGTTGGTAAAATGCCAAAAGAAAGATTTAATTTAATTCTAAATTAAATTAAAATGTCAAGGTAATCATCAAACAACAAGTGTCACAAGGAGAGCATGGGGGTAGGTGTGGACCACAAGGGGAGGACTACCTTTCCCTTGCTACCCAAGCAAACCTTCACAAATGACCGGCCCCAATAGGAACCGGTCAGCTGGCCGCTCATCCTTGAGCAATAAGGCGCGCCACGCAGGCAGCCTTTGTGCTCGGATGGGCCAACCAGCTAGGCCCATGCGCTGTTTGCATGCCCAGCGAGCCTTGCGCGCTTGTGGGCTGCTGAGAGGCTGGTGCTAGCAGCAGCTAGCTAGGCCCAACGAGCTTGCTAGCTTCTGGCCTTGTTAGCGCTGCTAGCTTGCTGGCACGCTAGCATGCTGGCGCGTTAGTAATGCTAGCCTGCTGCGCTAGCGCTGCTAGCATGCGATGCAAGCTAGCTCGGCATGCCGCGACTGCCCTTGCTAGCCGCATGCCCCTAGCTCTCGCATAGATAGGCCATTCCGAGGCTAGGGCTATACGTTGTGACGTGTTGTTTGACTGATTTTTCCGTCTCGTCGATCCCTAAATTTGACTCGACTTTCAACACTCTAAGCTCGGAATCCGACGTTTTAGTTTGTAAAATCTCTATCGACTCATTTAATCCTTTGGATTAATTCGTCACTTTGATTTGGTTACACGATTGGGTGTGACATGAAGGGTTCAGTCAAGAGCAAGCTGTAATATTAACTATACATTAATAAAACTGATCGGAAGCGGCCTCCAGCTAGGCATTCCGATCACTTGACCTCACTAAATAATTAGCTTTCCTAATTAATTCTGAACCCTCTATCGGAATAATACACTTGCTTGTTCGAAGGACACCATTCCTTTCAAGATATCCACGCCCCATTTGGCGAATGGTACTGGGATATGAATTGTCGTTATATCAGTGGCCGGACAGTGGATGAGCTAGCCAAATCTTTGGCACTTGTCACATTTCTTCACCGTTTTTGTGGCGTTTGCTTCTAGAGTCGGCCAGAAATATCCTTGCCGCCTGGCCCTTTCTGCTAGAGCTCTGTCGCCTATGTGTGAGGCACTGAAGCCCGAATGTAGATCTTCCAGAATCTCATGCCCCCTTTCTGGGGTGATACACTTCAAAGGAGGAACATAAAACCTTTTTTGAAAAGTTCTCCATTGTGAA